ACTCACACTGTTTTTGGACGGAGTTTTGGCCACAGCTATGGCCGTGAATGCGGTCAGATACATTTGAGATACTGCTACCAGTGGTGTGAGTACACGCTGAGTATGCCCTCAGGAAAACTCAAAAAGAAACACATTGCAAGAGCATGTGTGTGCTGTGCGGGCCAGCGTCCCTGCTGATTTCTTTCTCCATGTCCTATACCCCTATAGACTACCTTCTTCCCCCGAATACAACCTACGGTCATTATAGCTGTATTTGGGGTATCTTTCAGTCTAAATTCAGCTATAATGACCGTAGGTTGTATTCGGGGGAAGAAGGTAGACGAAAGGGATCTCAGAATGTGCTTGTAGCTCAATTCGATAGAGCACCAAACTATGGATTTGGGGGTTTATGAAGTTGGATTTGGGGTTTTAGAAAAAAAAAAGAAAAAAAAAAAAGAAGAAAAAGGATTTAGAAAAAAAAAGAAGAAAAAAAAAAGAAAAAAAAAAAGAAAAAAAGAAAAAGAAGAAGAAGTTTGATTTGGGGGTTCATGAGGTTGAGAGTTCAAGTCTTCCAAAGTAAGTATGAGCCTATGGCCCTCGCTGCACTACTCTCCACATGCACAAAAGACAAAAATATTGGCGGTGTATCTTTCCATATTCTAGCGGAAGATTCACTCTCCTTTTGCACATTTCGAGAGTAGTGCAGCGAGGCCCTATAACTCAGTTGGTGAGAGTATACGCCTGGTAAGTGTGAAGTGTGAAGTCAGCCGCTCTCTCTACAGCACTGGTCAGATGTGAAAGCAACAGAAAAAGGTGTCGTCTGTATATCTCCGTCTTCTCCGTGAACATACATTTCAGTCTCCTTTATTGTACATTGCATTAGGGAGAAGATAAACCACTTACAAATCAATCCAGCCAAGAGCCCCGGAGCTTTGGAGAAAAAAAAAGTCGAATCGGAGTCGTCCATTGTTCTTCACAGTTAGTAAACCCATAACCGAAATTGGACCACCGCGCCTTCACTGCTGCATCCCCTTCGGTATATATGTTGCTCGCCATATCTTCGTTCGATACAATGGCTGCGTGCCCAGCTCAGTGGGCGTACTATTCTTTCGCCTTTTACTAAAGAATACCGTGGGCTGAGCACACGTAAGCAGCTTACGTGAATTTTTCACAGGCCTACCGGACTAGTCTGGAGGCCACTAAATCAAAAAATCTCAACGAGGATACTGTGAGGACGAATCTGCTAGTGTGACGGGTGGCCGTGGGCAATGAATTTTCTTTCTCTTGGGAGAGCATGGGGTGACATAAATACCCTTAATTGTGAGAGGAAGCCATAATTCTTACCAACCGGCCAATAAACTTCCCCTTAAAGTATCAGTACTCGGTCCCGATATCGGCCGCCGGAGAAAATAGAATGGAAACTTTTGTAGTTGGATGAATTTGGGCGCTCCGGTAGTAGCCCGTACGTTTCCTAAAATTGTGGCGCGTCAAGGGGCATTGGTGGTTTGGTTTAAAACCACCACTACTTCCTTTTTTTTTTTTACCACTACTTCCTAGAGTTGTTCTCCTCTTCTTACCAATCTCGTCGCCCGCACTGGCAATTCACCCACTTGGTGGGTCATGCAGCGATCAGGTGGTTTGTGGGATGGCCTCACTCCGGACAATGATGTTGAGAACTTGAGAATGACCATTCCATTGGTGCCCTCCACTTTCAACCCTTTTGGTGCGAAAGTTTAGTCCGGTTTTGGAGAGGTACCCTGAATATAGTCACCAAAACGGGATGGTGACTAGATTCAGGCAACCATTGCCTCCCAGTGGCACGAAGAAGGTACTAGCTTACAGCCTTACTCTATCCACAGGTAGGCGCACAGGGACACGCACTGCCACATGTGTTCCAACTTCCTGGCACTATGGGATGGGGAAAGCAATCGGTCTACGTCCACTCTACGACTCTACACACGATCAGAGATGTTGCTGAGGCTAGTATAGCCTGCTATCCCAATGCCGTGCTGAGGCTATTATAGCCTGCTATCCCAATGCAGTGGGATTCGGGGATTACGCAGAGCGTCACCGTGGAATGGAGAAGTTTGCCGCTCTTGGCTTCCCAAATTGTTGGGGTTGCATTGACTGCACGCACGTGTATACCGACAAGCCTCGATCAAGAGGGATGATGATGAGTCGTTTGACTACTATTACAGTGGGATGCACAATCATTTTTCTATTGTCCGTCAGCTGGTTGTAGACTCTGACGGTCTGTCCTTAAGATACTGGACTTCTGTTATGGTTTCCCCGGAAGAGTTGACGATGGTCGTGTGTTGGTTAAGACATCGTAATTGTACAGGAGAGCTCTGAAGGGCAAGTTGTTCCTTGATGATGCGAAAGTCTAGACCCCTTCCGAGGAGAAAGACCTCCGATTGCCTACTAGACTAAGTGTGCCTGCAGTGGCTGTAACTTGCTAGGCGATGGCGGGTATCCCAATCTACCATCATGGGTCGTCATTCCGTACAGCCACCGCTGGCCCACCAGCCTGTCATCACGCAGTCCATAACATTGTTTGATGCTCTTCACAAGATCATTGTGATTGTGTGGTCCGGGGTGGAGCGTTTCTTCGGAGTGTTCAAGTGGTGGTTCCAGTTCTTCTACCGCCGGCGTGTGACCGAAATAACAAGGTAGGGGTTGGAGTTTCATGCCTGAAGTATATTACACAATCTCCTTCAGGAGTGGGGTGACATGCCCGAAGACGGCGATGAAGATTCCGATGCCTGTTCACCTCCGGTCCCAGCACCTGAAGCCGACAGGCCCGGGGAAGGTTCGCCACTGCCATTGGCCCATAATTCATGTTTGGCCGGCAACTGGGTCAAGCCGTGAGGGATGATGCTTTGTGTGCTGAGGTTATTGGTCTATATAATTTGAGAGATGAGCACTGAGCTTCGGGACTCGTAATGTTGGAATTGCCATTTTGTCAAAACGGACACTTTTTATTTTTTGAACGAAATTGAAACCGAGTTTTTCGGCCGAAAACTCGTCCAAATTTGCTGCTCCTGAGGGTCCGGCGTTTTTAAAACGCTGGACCCCCTGGATGTATATGGACTCCGCTTGAGACCAGTTACTTCCAGCTGTTCTGTGCTGCTCCTGAGGGTTAAAAACGCTGGACGCCCTGGATGTATATGGACTCCGCTTGAGACCAGTTACCTCCAGCTGTTCTGTGTGGTCACTGTGGTGTATTTAGACTAAGTCTGCCTTTCACCGGAAAGCCTGCTGTCAGTGTGGGGTCAGTGTGGGAATTGTGTGATCAACTCAGTCTGTCCTGGAATACGTCATTTTCCCTTTCAATTTTACTTTTTTTTGTCACTTTCCCCCCCCTTTCCTTTATAGTACCCTTTCAAATTTATTTATTTTTCGCTTTCCCCCCCTCTTCCTTCATAGTACTAGGTTTCCGGCCATGGCAAGGAGGGAGGGGCGCGTAGACTATGTGAGGGAGAGGAGGATGTTGGTGGACAGTCTTGAGAAGATGGAGGAGGAGGAGGTAGAACGACAGTCACTTCATAAGTATTTGGTGCAGTGAGGCGACAACATCACCATCAGTATGCGTCATGGACGTGCTGTGCGTGAGACTGGGATAACGGAAGAGAACATGCAGTGCGGGATGCTTTGGCTTTGAGAGATCGATCATCAAAATCTCCTTAAAAAAAAAAAAGAAGACAATTCATAATGGCTTAACGTCCACATGAGATAAGTTCAAGTTAAACGCAAGAGAACATGCACGCATGTAGATGGGCAAGCTCTGTTATGTAGAGGCTACGCCTTGCACGACAACGGCTGCACTGCCGCTGCAGGACTGATGTGATGAGCTCATCACACGGAATGTTCGCATACGGCAAGACAATGATGGATGGCGACGAATGTGGGGAGGAGAGAGAACAAGATGCGCCTTAGAGGCAACGATGAACACGTGCGCCAGGCTTTGCAGGAGAGGGACGAGGCTCTCGTGTGTGAGTGTGTGCGTGTGTGTGTTTGTCTCTGTGTGTGTGTGTGTGTGTGTGTGTGTGTGTGTGTGTGTGTGTGTGTGTGTGTGTGTGTGTGTGTGTGAG